TTCCTCATGATTAGATTCAGTTTATGCATATTTGGCAGGATTATTTCAGGAGTGATGTGTGTTCTCAGTGTATCCTATTGGGGGCCCATGATTTCATCATTACTGGTGGTATTAACCTTGATTACTTGATTAAGGTGGTGTTTGCCAGGCTTTTCTGCTGTTATATTAGCCTTTTTAATTTTTTTATTGTATTTTTCCCATTAACCATTTATCCCCCCATACCCTCTTCCATGTCCGCCCTTTGAAATTTTTTGATAAATAAGAATTTCATGGGAAGGCCTTCTGAGGTTATAAAATTAGTCATCAATCTTTTAGCTTTTTCCTTTATTTTCTTATATCTACATGAGCACATGGAGTCCTATTTTTTTTTAAATGGTTTATATCCCTTTATTACCATTATTAGTATTGATGCTCTAGTTGTTCCAGATTTGGTGGTGGGAACAGTTCAAGCTAGATTCTTTATTCTTTTGTTAATGGCCTCTCATTCTTTGAGCAATTGCTTATTTTTTGGCATGATGCTCCATATTATTTCGTACTTGTTCTACTCCAGCCTTGGAATCAGCCATTTCTTCAAAGACCCCTGGCACCTTTTAATGGAGAATGGCATTAGAAAACAAGATCTGAGTGCCAGGTATGTTATTGGGGTATTGTTGATTGCTGGACCTCTCAAGGGACAGTTGCATTCCCTATAAATTTACACATTTACATCCATCTCTCTCTCTCTCTCTCTCCGTAGTTCACATCAATAGCCAGAATCCTAGTCTAAACGAAGGGTTCATTCTATTTTTTTTACCTTTATATATTTGTAACATTTCTTTTTAAGCTGTGAGAAACCTGGCTTCTGTTATCTTTAATGGTTTTTCTTATTTGATCCATCTCTTTTTATATACCAAATCTCATAGCTATTTCTGCATTCCCTCTGCCACCTCCCATCCCCCACCTAAGTAGAAACTCTTTCCACCCTTCTCTGGCTTTGCCCCACTATGTTGGGATGCCTGCCTCAGTGGACTATGTCTTGGTCTCCAGTACTGTGCCACCGGGGTCCTGTGCCACTGCCCTTCTTACTTCACTTAGGTTCATCACCCCATGCCAGATTGCCCTTGTGGGGATCCCCTCCTCACCCTGATCAAGCTCTGAGATCCTGTACTGTGTTTCTGCCCTCCTGCATGGATATAGACTGCCCTCAGCTGCTTCAGGCTCAGACACCAAATCTTGGCCATTATAACCAGTCCCACTTGATGGCTTTTGGACTGAATTATTTGTGAAGGGAAACCACATTGTCTTTTTTAAAAAGATTTTATTTATTTATTTTTAGAGGGAGGGGAAAAGAGGGAGTGAGGGAGAGAAACATTGATGTGAAAGAGAAACATTGATCAGTTACCCCTCTTACATGCCCCAACTGTGACTGAACCTGCAACCCTGGCATTTGCCCTGACTGGGAATTGAACTGGTGACCCTTTGCTTTGTGGGATGACGTTCAACCAACTGAGCCACACCAGTCAGGGCCACATTGTCTTTTGAGAGACAATTAAGTGTTTTTTTGACATCTGTTTAAAATTAAAAGTTAGTGCTTTATAAGAAGAGAAAAGAAGTTCTGGTCCAGATGATGGTATAGGTAAATGTGGTACTCACATCCTCCCACAGCCACATCAGACTTACAACTAAATTACAGAACAACCATCATTCAGAACTGCCTAAAACATTTGAACCTAGTGGAATAGAATCCTATAACTACAGATATAAAGAAGAAACCACATCAAGACTGATAGGAGGGACATAGGTGCGGAACAGGCTGGCCCCATGCCCACATGTGGCAGTTAAAAATGGAGAGGGGTGTTTCAGCTGTGGAGGTCCCCATGAAGCGAGGGGTCCCAGCCCCTGCTAGGGTTTCAGTGTTGGGAAGAGAAGTACCCATTACTTCTGGCTGTAAAGACTAGCAGGGATTGTGGCTGAGTGAGACAGTAGGCTCCTGTAGTCCCAGATGTTTCTCTTAAAGGGCGCATGTACAGACTTATTTGGATTCACTTGCTCTGAGCTCCAGCACTGGGGCAGCAGCTCAAAAGGCATAGGGACAAGTGGGGAGGAACTGAATTGTCTGGCTTCAGCACTAGGGCTGGAGGGGTAGCTTTCTCTCACACAGTAATGCTAGCAGAGCACATAGGTGCCATACCTGAGTCTCTTGAGTCTCCATGAGTCTAGTTAACACTGTTAGCTGCCTCCTCCAATGATTCCCTGAGACCCCACCCCACTCAGCTCCTGAGGCCACCCAAACTATTTCCAGTGGCTTTTTCAAACAAAGGGCCCCTCCTAGCTCATGCTTTGGACTTTCCTAAAATCCCTCAAATAAGCAGTATTTGGCCTGCGCCTATCCATAGCCTCTTGCTAAGTGGCCCTAGACCTGGCACTAGCAGCAGCCAGGCTTGGTTTGCAGCTTGGCATGCTCTCCTGGGCACCTCCAAGACCAGCACAAAGAGCAGATCTCTGTAGCTCATTCCAGGTGGCCCTGGGCAGGACATAGGCAGTGGATGACCTTGTACCTCCCAGGAGGCCCCAGAGCCAATGCACCTGGTCGACAGCTTTAGAACACAGTGGATACAACCCAACCACCTCCACCAGTGACACACTCAAGGTGCAGACTCAGTGGGCACCAAGCCCCACTGAAGCTAGTCCTGCTCTGTGTGGTCAGGCCCTGAACAAGCAGCTCCTCTACTGTAGTCACAGCTGGCCCTCACAGCTGATCGACCCTGGGGGGATGTCCCTCCAAGTAATGTGCTAACACCAATCAAGGCTCAAATACAATGAGACAGTGCACACAGATCACACAGGGCTCACCTGGAGCTCCCAGCTCAGGTGATTGGGGAGGCATGCAGCTGGGACCTACAGAACACGTACTACATAAGCCACTCCCAAGTCTGGGAGTTGTAGCAGCTTTACCTAATACATAGAAACAAACACAGGGAAGGAACCAAAATGAGGAGACAAAGAAACAGGTCCCAAATGAAAGAAGGGGAGAGATCTCCAGAAAAAGAACTAAATGAAATGGACACAATCTACCAGATACAGAGTTCTAAACAATGGTTATAAGGATGCTCACTAAGTTCCTTGAGTGAGAACTTCAACAGCATAAAAAAGGGCTTGGAAACCATAAAAAGCAGTAAAAAATGAAGGATACAATAACAAATGAATAATTTACAGGGAATCACCAGTAGAGTAGATGAAGCAGATAATCAAATTAGCAATTTGGAATATGAGGAAACAGAAAACAACCAATCAGAACATCAAAAAGAATAAAAAAATGAGGATAGAATTAAGGAGCCCCTGGGACAACTTCAAGTGTACCAACATTTGCATCATTGGGTTGCGGGAAGGAGAAAAGAGTGAACAAGAAATCGGAAACCTATTTCAAAAAATAATGACAGAAAACTTCCCTAAACTGGTGAGGGAAACAGACATACAAGTCCAAGAAGTGCAAAGTCCCAAACAAGATGAACCTGAAGAGGCCCACTCTAAGACACATCATAGTTAAAAGCAAAAGGTTAAAGATAAAGAGAATCTTAAAAACAGCACGAGAAAAGCAGTTAGTTACCAGTAATGGAGCTCCCCTAAGATTGTCGGCTGATTTATCAACAGAAATTTTGCAAGCCAGAAGGGATTGGCAAGAAATATTCAAAGTGATGAAAAGCAAGGGTCAACAACCAAGATTGCTCTACCCAGCAAAGCTGTCATTTAGAATCAAAACAGATAAAGAGCTTTCCAGACAAGAAAAAGCTAAAGGAGTTCATCACCAGCAAACAGTATTACATGAAATGTTGAAGGGTCATGGGGGAGGGGGAGGGGAGAGGGAGGAGAAAAAATATGAACAATAATATGGCAGTAACTACATATCTATCAACAATTACTTTAAATGCAAATGGATTAAATGCTGCAATCAAAAGATATATAGTGGCTGAATGGATAACAAAACAAGACCTTTACATATGCTGTCTATAGGAGACTCACTTCAGATCAAAAGACACAGACTGAAAGTAGAGGGATGGAAAAAGATATTTCATGAAAATGGAAGCAAAGCAAAACAAAAAAGCTTCGGTAGCAATACTCAGACCAGGCAAAATAGACTTTAAAACAAAGTCTATAGCAAGAGACAAAGAAGGACCTGACAACTCCACTTCTAGGTATTTATCCCAAGAAACCCAAAACACTAAGTCAAAAAGATGTATACATCCATAAATGTCCATCAGTAGGTGAGTGGTTAAAGGAGTGTTGCATATATATGATGGGATGTGACTCAGCCATAAAAAAGAATGAAATCCTACTATGTGCAGCAACATGGATGAACCTAGAGGATATGGTGCTGAGCAAAATAAGTCAGATAGAGAAAGACAAATACCAGACGATTTCACTTATATGTGGAATCTAAAAAACAAAATAAATGAATGAGCAGAACAGAAACAGACTTCGATAGATACAGAGAACATTTTGATGATTGCTAGATGGGAGATGGGTTGGGGAAATGGGTGAAAAAGGTGAAGGGATTTAGAAGTACAGATGGGGAGTTACAAAATAGTTATGAGGATGTAGAGTACAGCATAGGGAATATAGTTAATAATATTCTAATAACTGCATGGTGTCAGATGGGTACTAGATTTATCAGGGTGATCACTTTATAAGTTTTACCAGTGCCTAATCATGGGGTTGTACACCTGAAGTAATAATATCTTATGTCAACTGTACTTTAAAAATAAAAAATAAATTAAAAATGAGGGAAAAAACCCAAATAGTTTGAAAATTTCACTTTTCAGGCCGTTGTGGGTATAGTTCTAAAAGGATTTTTTTGGGGGGGGGGCTAATGTTTAAGATGTAACTTAAAATAACACAATATGATTTATAATTATTTGAGTCTTAAGTGTATTAATATATTGGTTAATGAGTGGTTCCTGAATGAGGAAATTAGAAAACAAATGATAATTTCATCTACACAATAATATACATTTTTCTTCTAGCTCTTCCACCAAAGCCGCCTAAACCAATGACTTCAACTGTTACAAATGGAATGAAGGACAGTTCTGTTTCTCTTCAGGATGCAGAATGGTACTGGGGGGATATTTCAAGGTAACTGAATGCTACGAAACTGGAATGCAGTTTTTAAAAAGCCATTTTTGAGAATTAATAGTTAAAATGAAACATTGTAATGTCCCATTAGTTTTCATTTAAAGATTACCATTTAAGAGATTGTCTAAGAACATTTCAAAAGTTTGTAAATGCTTCTCTTCCCACAAAAAAAAGTGACAAAAATCTTTAAATTATGAGTGTGATTTTACTTTTAATTCTGTGTTGAGGATAGTTTTCTGAATAAATGATAACATACACTTAGATAGTTGCACATGTTTTAGGATAAAAGGTACTTAATTTTCCTTACCTTTTGTTTCTAAGGCACTGGTTCCACAATCTTTACATGTGCAAGAATCTATTGGGGTGAGGTCCAGAAATCTGCATTTAACCACCTCCCCAAGTGATTTGGTGCACTCTTTACACAACTCATTTTGGGAAACAGGAATCTAGGATAAATTTGCTCTTTCGGTAAATGTGGTCTTGGAAAATTTTGAATCTAGAGAAGGAATATACATACTCACACAGGTTGGCAAAAATAGGTTTACTGTTGTATTGTGACATCCTCTTGAGTTAATAAAGCTATTGTAATAATCATAATCTGCATACTTTTTTCATATGAACAACTGTAAACCCACTTTTGCCTACCCTTGTACATATTTTAAATTTGAATATTCTATTTTCCTTTTTTTAAAAAGCACTATACATTTCTGCCAAGTCAGGTTTCAGATTGATGCTGTAGTTCTCAGTATGCTTGCCCTTCTCTTTCTTCTATTCTCTCCCATTACCAAAGCGGCACTCAGTATTTTCTTTTGTTCTTACCATTTTAACCATTTTTAAATGTGTAATTTAGTGGCATAAAGTACATTTAAGTCGTCAGCCATTGCCACCATTCATCTCTGGAACTATTTCATCTTCCCCAAGTGAAACTCTGTACCCATTAATAATATACTAACTCATCTTTCCTCATATTCTTCCCTGCCCCTCCTTGGCAACCACCATCCGACTTTCTGTTTTTATAAATTTGACTACTTTAGATACCTCATATAAGTGGAATTATATAGCATGCAATATTTACCTATTTGTGACTGGCTTAGTTAGCATAACGTCTTCAGGGTTCATTCATGTCGTATCATGTGTCAAAATTTCTCTCATTTTAACAGCTAAACAATATTCCATTTTATATATATTTATTTATTCATCTGGACATTTGGCTTTGATGAATATTTGGATTGATTCCAGCTTTTGGCTAGTGGATAATGCTGCTATGAACTTTGGTGTATTAATGTTCAAGTTCCTTTTTTCATTTCTTTTGGATATATACCCAGAAATGGAATTTCTGGGTCATATGGTAATTCTATATTTAATTTTTTTGAGGAAGACAATATATTTTATATTATCAGAAAATTTTTATTTAAACATTGTACAATAAAAGGCTCTATTATATTTAAATACCATTTCAACTTATATTTTAAGACCCTGTGGTTCTGTAATTCAGGGGTGTTCCATGGCCTGCCATTTTCTTTGAGTGTTCTAATGTTTTTCTTTAAGGTCCCAAACCAGCTCTACAGAGGAATTTATCAGAATAAACTCATATTGGAGGATATCATATTGAAAGATTGTGAATTTTTTCCCCTCTGATCAGACACAGCTGCTACTGTTGTTTTAATATAATCTTCTTTCTAAACAGCTGCTGGTTTTTCATGAAACATTGCAAGTTCAGACCTGCCAAAGGAATCCCTAAAGGCTTAATGGAAACACTATCCTCTATAGACAGTTGAAATCTGGAGAAGTTTAAGATGCAAACAGCCCTTCGTTAGATTGCATAACACTGAAAATCAAAACAGAATGAACATATCTAGGAGGAGGAACTAAATGACCTCTGAAGGCCCCATGATTCTATAATCTTAGGCATTCCCACCTCCCAACAGCCTTAGTAATAATATGTGAAGAAAACAAATGACACTTCCTTTTTTTTTTTTTTTCTTTCATTTTTTCTATAATTCTTCAGGGAGGAGGTAAATGACAAATTACGGGACATGCCAGATGGTACCTTTTTGGTCAGAGATGCCTCAACAAAAATGCAGGGAGATTATACTTTGACTTTGCGGTAAGTATCATGCAGTATTTTGGTTAGTGTTTTACTAGCATTATTTATTTCTGGGTATACAAAGATTTCTGTATTTTATTTAATTCTTTACATACACATTTGTCATATTTTTATTTAGATACATAATTTTAGTTTAACTTTTTCTACACATTAAATATTTAAATGTCTTATAAAATAACAACAATTTTTATTTTTATGTAGCAATAAATTGAAAAAGCTAAAATCCCTAGTAAGAAAATAAGATGTGTACTGTTGACCTTATGAGTAAAGCAGAAATCATGTGCACAGCCTAAGATTATTAATAGTATGTTCAGAATCCGCCCCTCTAATAACCCTATTACTTTCCTTAATGCAGACTTTAAAGAGTTAAAACTCAACTTTGGGATGATGACAATTAGAAGATAAAGCAGTTCTCACTCTGTATCATGCTATCCATATGGGCATATAGAATCTCATAAGCAGGGGATGTTTCACCTTTTACATTTACAAAGATAGAATATATATTTTAAAAGATTAGGAAAATTGCTTTAGATATTTCTGCAATTAATTTTAACAATTAAAATAGTCTAATTACAATAAAGTCATTTTTTAAAAATAAAGAATAATAACAGCAACAATAACAACTTCCTGTACTAAGCATTTTACATGTAACATTTATTTCTCACTGCAACCTTATGAAGTGTAGGTATTAATATATTTATTTTACAGATGAGGCAAGTGAAGCTTAGGCTGGTTAAGAAACTTGTCTAAAGACACATATGGGCTCAAAGGCAGATTTATCTGGCTCTTTGCCACCTTTCCATACTGGTGTCTTTAAGAAAAATAATCCTATATTTCATGCTAAAAGTTTGGAGTCACTGTATTAGTTTCTGATAAAGACATTAAGAAGTTAATACCGTAGGACTTCAGTTGTGCTGAGGAATAATCAATGTTTTACACTGATTGATTCAACACAGTTTTTTTCCACTCTAGTCAGACTTCTGTCTTACCATTCTACAGTGACTGCTAAACCGGTGGCCCTTCTCTCTTCTTACCTTACCTGACCTGTTAGCAGCATTAGCCATATTATTCTGATTTTCTTCATAGTTTTAGACCACTCCTTTGCTCAATATTTAAATATTAAGTGTTCCCCAGTTCAAACTTGGGCCTTCTCTGTATTCATTCTCCTACAATGAAGCTTGTCTTGTCCCATGGTTTTAATATATAATTAGGTGGTGATGATTCATAAACCTTATCTCCAGCTCTGACCTTCAGAACTTCAGATGCATGTATCCAGTTACCTGCTTGCTTTTGCCACTAGAAAACTAGGGGATATGCTAATTTTAACATGGTCAATTCAGAATTTTTTATTTCAAGCCTAATTCCCGCTCCCCACCCCCCGCCCCAGCTGTTTCTCCTGTAGTCTTCACTTTTTTAAGAAATAGAACCACTATGTCTACAGTTACTCAAGCCTTAAGTCTTTTTCCCTCTCTCTCACCCTCACGTCTAATTCATTGTTAAACAAGTCCTGCCAATTCCAAATTTATATTCATAGTCTTTTCATACGTCACCATCTAAATCTAAGCTACCATTCTCTTGCTTCATCTTTTGCAGTCATCTCCTAGCAGGGCTCCAAGCATCTTAAAATTTCTCATCTTTCCCAACACTGTTGACCATTTTCTGCACAGCAACTGAGTGGTAATTTTAAGATACGAATCTGATTACTCCTTTGCTTAAAACTTTTTAAGAGTTTCTCTGCTACATCTAAGGTAGAGAATTTATATTTTATTCTAACTTAACAAAACTCTATTTAACCTGTTCTTGGTCTCCTTCCTACACCTCCTTGAGCAGGGCCTTGATAGATTTTTTTCTTGCTACGCAGGAAAGTGCTGGTCTTAATTCAATTTAGTAAATACTCATAGCTCAGAACTAGTCATGCAGAATACTAGCTCTGCAGAAAAGCTAACAATGAGTTAAAATTTTTGTTCCAAGGAAGATAGTCAAGTGAGGGTAAAGGGAATAAAAAATGCTTTGATTTAAAGTAAAATAACAGAAGAAGTACAAAGAGTGTGCTTTGAGGGCTTAAAAGAGGATAAGAGATAGCTGATTGAAAGGATATAAAAAGCTATTCATCATGGAAGAAATTGCATTTGTAATGTATTTTGAAAAAGGGAATAGGTTTGGATATATAGAAAGTTGGGGGGAGTGTTTGCAGGATTAGATAACAATAGGAAAAAGATAAAGAGGTGAGAAAATATAGAGCCCTGTTCAGTGAGATGCAGTCCCGTTTGGTTAGTGGGTAGAGTTTACAAAGAGGAAAAAGTGATGGGGGTATAGAAGGATAGAAAGTTGGAAAAGAGTCATGTTGAAGAGGGCCTTGAATTCTAAAATTTGGAGTTTGTATTTAATGTTGTAAATAGGCAAGGGGAACTATTGCCATTTTTTCAGCAGGGAAGTTAATATGCACAGGCTATAGTTGAATAGAAAGAATAAAAGAGGATAGATATTAACTAGTAGAGTTAGAAGGCTATTAAGAATTAAGAGGTAATGGTGATCCAGATGAAGTTTTATTCTTTAATCTTTTAATATTTATTAATTGCCCACAGTGTTAATATGTACTGCTGTAGGAAAAGGAAATGATGAACAAGCCAAATACGGTTTCTTGTTTATAGTGTTTATGTTCAGGGGTGGGGATAGAAGTTGGGGTAGGCAGTTCCTAGCTGGGTGGCTTGGTTGGAGTGTTGTCCTGTGCACCAGAAAGTTGTGGGTTCAATTCCTGATGCCTAGCCAGGGTACATACCTAGGTTGCAGGTTCAATCCCCAGTTGGGACACTTATAGGAGGCAATTGATTAGTGTTTCTCTCGCATATCGATGCTTCTCTCTGTCTGTCCCTTCCTCTCTCTCTCTAAAAATCAATTAAAACAAATTTTTTAAAAAAGAGGTGTCACAATTACGGAGTGTTATATAGGAAATAAAAAGGGTTATATGATAGAGAATATGAGGAAAGGGAATTTAAGATAGTTTTGAGGAGGACCTCTGTGAGGATATGACCTCTGAAAACCTAAGGATTAGAAAGACCCAGCCAGAAAAGTGTTCTAGGGAGAGGGAAGAGAAAATGCAGACACTGATTTTGGGAAGATTTGGTGGATCCATTGAATATAAAGACCATGGTGGCTGGCTTACAGTGTAAACCACAGAGTGGTAGGAGATGAAGTTGGAAGTGGGAAGAAGCCAGGTACAGAGAGCCTAGTGAGCCATGGTAAGGAATTTGAATTTTATTTCTAAGTGTAAAAAAAATAATAATAATAAAGGGTTTTAACAAAGGGAGTGACATGATTGAAAGACTGAATACACTATTCCTAGGACAGTTGCTCTAAGAAAGGAGTTGAGTCAAAGTAAGGTAGTGGGGAGCTAAGAAGCAAAAGGAATTTTGTTAATGAAATACATATGAGGTTGAGAGGGAGTTAGTTGAAGGTGGTTCAAGCCTGCTGGGCTTATCATGAATGTGCCATTTATAGAAATAGGAAGCACTGTCAGGAACAGTGTTTTATTGGGGAAGTAGCGAAGATGTTAATTTTTAGCTGCACCAGAACGTCTAGGTAAAAATATATCTAGACTAGATTCAGAAGTATAGTTTGGTGCCTAGGAGAAAATATGTAGCCAGAAAAAGATTCAGTATCATCTACATAGAATATATGGGGAAAGAGGGTAGAGGCTCCAGGCAAATTCTTTTAGGGAATTACTGTTTAGTAGAAGGAAGGAAGCAGTTAAAGAGCATTTTAAGAGGCTGAAAGAAAAGAATGTCACAGAAGTCATGGGAGGATGAAATACTAAGAAGGATGTGAGTGGGGGCGAGAAGGAAGGGAGAATAGGAATTTCAGTCACTGCAAAGAAACTGAGCCTGGGGTAGAGGGATGGGGCAGAGTCTCAATTGGTAAAAGTCATTGGTGATCCTCAGAGAGCAGTGAGAGTAAAATCGGACTGGAGAGAGTAGGTGATCAAATAGAGGTTTTTCAATTCAATAACTACCTTTAAAATCAGTAAATAGTATTCATTGTAGAAAATCTGGATAGTTAACAGATCTTTAGGAATCTGCGAGGCATTGGGCCAGATGCTAGGATGCAAGAAGGAATATCATGATTGGTTCAAGATTAGTGAGAGAAAGAGACATAATGAAAAATTCACAATTCCCCAGTTTCTTCATATCTTCACTCCCCTCTATTCTACTTAAAGAGTCCATGGTCCATTGTTAAAATTACCCTTGTGAATGTATCCTCAACAAATGTGCTTCTCTCTCCCTCCATTTTGGTCACCTAACTATATTCCAACACTTGTCAGGTTCAACTCTTTCTTTTCCTGCCTATACCTGGATAGCTAACTTTAAAGAAAAATACACCATGCTGACTGGTTTTGAAACTGTAAAAGCCCGTGTTCGTGCTGCCTGTCACCAAGCAGATCCAATAAGCAGAGACAGGGGATGAATCTTTGTGGACACTTTATTCAGATGGCCAGATCTAAGACTGCTATGGTTTATACCCTAACAGACCATCTTAAATTCCATTTTAAACTGACCCTTTTTATAATGGAAAAGAAAAGTATAGGTAAGGGGTTTGGAATTCAGGAAAAAAGCTAATCAGATAAAAGCTGCAGTATTCTTTCATCTGTGCCCTGGGAGGTGGGTGGTGGGCCTCTCATCCTGGAGCACAATGGCTCAGATACCATCTTGATCGCTTGCAGTCCTCCTGAGGCACAAAGGTGGAACTGCTTATGGTCTCCTGGAGTTGAGGTGGGTCATACCTTCAGTTCCTGAAACAATAGCTTTTTACATGCATTGATTACTAAGCTTATTAGCTATTTCCTGGAACTAAAAATTTTCTAACATTTGAGTCCCCCATCAGTCTCACAGTTAAGTTTGTGACAGATCTTAAGCAGGACTTTAGTACTGCCCAGATGAATTTCTGCATCTCCCCAGACCATTTGCTTTCCCACTTTCCTAGATGACAGTTTCACATGTTCCTTTTTTCTCTTCCAATCAACAACACAACTTCCCCCTTCTACCTGCAGAAGTTGCTGAGAACACAAAAGCTGTCAGAAGAGATCTTATGCTACTATCGCCCAGCTATTAACATATTTGCACTTAAATGTGAAGACTGCCTTTCTCCTGTTCCAGAGGGAGGCTGACTGTTCATGACCTACCTCTTTCTGTGGAGGGGATCCCATCTCTATCTAATCTATTCAAGGACATTTGCCTTGGGAGTTATGTTGTCTTTTTATGGATCAATGTTTTTGTCTTTTCACGAAGTCATTCTATTAGCATATAAATATGCTCTACTCTCTCATTTAAGAATAATAAATTAAAAAAATTCCCTTGACCCTGTTTCTCTTTCCAGGTATTTCCCTATTTTCCTGCTCTTAATTTACAGCAGTATTCTTCAAGATAGTGAAACCATTTTGTCAAGGTCACTTAGTGATCTCTATTTTGTCAAGCCCCAAGTCATTTACCCAGTTGAACATTTTCTCTTTGTTGAAATGCTTTTAAAAAATTGTTTTTAAAAACTCTTAGTTCTCCTTTTACTTCATTAATTGTTCTCTCTCGAGTTCCTTTGCTGGTTCTTCCTCATTTCGCCTGACCAGTAAACACTGGTGAACCCGAGGGCCTAGACCTTGAACCTCTTTTCTTGGTTAGCTGTGCTTATTTTCAGGTAACATCTATAGGGTGATGACTGTTTTTATACCTCTGGCCCAAACCTTCTTCTGAACTTTAGATTCTTCCAGTAGGTTGTGGAATCAGTCATCTGCTCTCAGATGTTCACTAGGCATCTCACGCCTAACCTGTCTGAAAGCAAGATGTTTTTTCCTCTTTAAATGTGGTTTAAAAAAAAAAATATGGCCTTCTTAATTTTCAATAAATGACAGTTCCATTCTTCTAATTGCTTAAGATAAAAACCTTGAAATCATTTTGTCTCTTTTTCTCATACCCTTATTAATACAAGCCATTTGCACATTCTTTCAGCTCTCTTCAAAATACAGGATCTGGCAGAAATAGTACCTGCTTGAGTGTGGTTGGTAGGTTATGGGTGTAATAATTTATAGTTTTATTTTGAACATGTCACCTAAAATGTCATATGGTGTGGTTGGGTGTAATATTGTTATGTTACAGAATTACATGCTTACGATTTTGTAATAAAAAAGGGGTTTTACTTGTGCTGGACCCTGTATATTCAGAATCCCACCATTTTTCAATGTCTCCATTGCTATTACCCTTGTTCAAGACATCATCTTCTCTTATTTAGATTATTTTAATAGTCTTCCAATTGATCTTTTTACTTCTACTTCTGCCCACTTTGCATGGTCTGTTCTCAATCCAGCAGCTAGAGTGAGCCTTTTAAAACATGAGATAGATGATATCATTCTGCTCAAAACTGTATTGTCTCCTCCCATTTTATTCAGTAAGAGCCAGAATCCTTTCAGTGGCCTATATGCTGTTAAATGATCTAAGCTCCTTTTACATCTCTAACTTCATCTTCTACTACTCTCCTTATTTCTTATTCACCCTGAGCATCACTGGCCTCCTTGCTGTTTTTCCGAGTCTGTCAAGCTTGCTTCTAGCACAGGGGCTTTGCACTGTTGTTTCCTTCTGCCTGGAAAACTTTCCCCCCAGATATCTGCTGTGCTAGTTCTCTCACTTAGTTTAGGACTTTGAACAGAGTGGTTTTCCTTGTGCAACATATATAAAATAGAAATTCCTTCATTCCCAGAACAATCTCTTACTTTTACCCTAAGATTTTTTTTCCATAGGACCTATTACCATTTGATAGTTTATTTTTATGTTCTATCTTGATGAGATATTCTTTTATCCTCTTTGTAAGCTTAAAGATGGAGATATGTTTCTCATGCAAGTTTCATGCAAGCATGGACTATAGATGGCTTGTTTATGACTTTATTCACCTAGGGTCATATAGTTCATGGCACATAGTAGGTGTTCAATATTTGTTTTTGAATGAATGAGTGCATTTTACCTTTGCTTTAGCAGCAAGACCAGCTTGCGTTTATTGTGAGTAGATGTGTGGGTGTAGTCACCTATAGGAACTGCATATGAATGTGCGGTCCTTCTAATGTACATTTTATAGGAATGATTTTTCCTCTATCTAAATACTGACCTTCAAAGCATTATTTAATTTAAACCAATCCATAAATTCTAACCTATTGTGTTTGAACTTTCACAGATCCCAATACCTCATTTATCATGTATAATAGCATGGCATAAATATAGAGGTATATTTCCCCCTCATTAAGTCTGCATGCTGCTATAAGAAGAGTTGAGTGGGAACTGTGCTGTATTTTGCAAAGGTGTAGTGATTCAACCTGATTTTATTTTAGATTATACCTTAAAGGACTTAACAAAACATTGCCATTTTAAGCTTTGGTTACAAATTATGTTTTAAGGCACCATTGGATAGGACTCAGTAAACAAAAGTGGTGAAAACTATTCAAGAGTCAAATTATACTCATATAATGTAAATGACTCTTCCAAAGCTATACTTCGTAAAACAACTGAATGAATCATTTACATGCTATGTGGCCTAAATAGTAATTTCCAAGAATTATAAGCAAATATAAAAGACAAAATAAGGTAAGGTCTAGATAAATTACTCAGTCATAAATCATTCAAGCCACTTAATTTTGTTTGGTCATTGACAGTAAAACCTTGAGTATCATTGGTGATTTTGTGACAAATGTTTGTCATCCCCCTTCATATAGAGATGGCTTCTGTTTCCCTCCACAGATATACAACCATGTAGCTCTGGGTCATAAAGAGATTGTTTCTGTTCTTCTTTAAAATATATTGATAGAATTTAAGTTAGATAATTTATTCAGAAAATAAACTAAAGATACATTACAGTATTTTTCTTAAGTGATTATTTTGACCTTCAGTATGTTGACCTTTTGTAAGCAAAATATTTACAGACAAAAAAGTTGTAAAAATAACATGATACTGTATGTATTTTACACACATAATTTTATATACCTTTTCACCTGTTCTAGCCTCAACATAATAAAACTTGTTTATTATGTGACATCAAGCTTCTATATCTTCATGTGAAATTAGTACTTCAGTAGAATGTTGGGGAAAAAATCTACAGTTGTTGTCTTGTTGTTTACAGGAAGGGAGGCAATAATAAGTTAATAAAGATCTATCATCGAGATGGTAAATATGGCTTTTCTGATCCTCTGACATTTAATTCAGTGGTGGAGCTCATTAACCACTATCATCATGAATCACTTGCTCAGTACAATCCCAAACTTGATGTGAAACTGATGTACCCAGTGTCCAAATACCAACAGGTATGATTACAAAACAGATATTGATAGCTATTTAGTAAGTTATTATTTAAGAGCATCATTTGATTCTAATTCATCTGGCTTATAAGTTAAAAAAAAAATCTTAAAATTTTCTACTGAAGATTTATGAATTTTAGGACTTATTTTGTGGCAACTATTAATAGTTTGTTGCATGTGTATATTAGCTTTATATAAAAATACTTTTCTTCATGTTTTCTATTTATACTTTATTAATTTTTAAAGTATTAACTATTTTGTTGTGATATAAAGTCTGATCTTAGTGTAAACAAAATAATTCAGTGCTTTTGCATACTTGATATTAATATAGTGGCGTAAACTTACTGTAGAAATTACTGTAGTAATTTAAAAGTAAATAGATAAAAAATGTAAAAAAAATGTGAAAATTCATGTTAGAATTGTTAAAATCCTTTATTTCTTTTGTTTACTTGCATAGGATCAGTTGGTAAAAGAAGATAACATTGATGCAGTAGGTAAAAAACTGCAGGAGTACCACTCTCAGTATCAGGAGAAGAGTAAAGAGTATGACAGGCTATATGAAGAATACACCAGAACATCCCAGGTTAGTATAGTTTTGTTATTTAGGTCAATAAGTATGCAAATGTTACAGTTATATCAGATTTTCTTTAATTTGCCTGACATTCTTTAGTTGTCTTAATATCTTACATAGTCTTTTTGAGACGTTAATGATATAAATTTCTCTCATTCCTAAATCAGTTTTTTATTTTATATCAGTATTAACTAGGATAAGGTTTTACTGCAAGTGACAAAAAATAACAAAATAATAAAGGCTTCAGCTAGAAATTTATTTTTCTTTTACGTATTGGCAGGCTTAGGGTTCTTCTGTCTAGATGCTTTTCTCTCTGTGGTTTTGGCTTACTCCAGTATCAGCCATGACAACTACATTCTAGCAAACAGGAAGGAAGAATAGGAAAGAGAAAGGAGTGTTTCCTATTTTTAAGGCTACTTGCTAGAAACGCACACTGCTTCCACTTTCCTCCTACTGGCTAGACATAGCTGCAGATCATAGCTGGCTGCAGTGGAGGTGAAGGAAGTCTTCTATAACCATTCAAAGAAAGAGGGAGTCTTGTGTTTACTGATTTTGAGTGATTTCTAAGATATATTAAGTAAAAAAAAAAAAAGCAAGCTCTAGAAAAATATATATAGTACACTTTCGTTTATGGTTAAAAAAGAAAGGGAGTAGAGGGTGATATATGTGTACATGTTAATAAAAATGTGCTCAGAATGTTTCTGGTCAGAAACTGATATATCATCTGGGTAAGATCATTAAGGCAGTAAGAATCCAAAAGTAGAAAACTTAACCTTTACTATATATCCTTTTATATTTGATTTATTCTTTCTGTGAGCATGTTTTACCTTCTTAAAATATATAAAACTAACTGAATTAGAATTCAGGAGATTGATTTTTCTAACCCTGCTTATGTTAAAAATTGCTTATGTCCCTTGAGAGAATCTATGTTTAAAGTTCCCATCTGTGAGAAGGAGATAATGGCAACCTCAACTATATTTGAGTGAGTGTGTGTGGGAGACAGACAGACAGACAGACAGACAGACAGACAGAGAATCTGGTTAAAAAGTTCAATATAACCATCTAAAACCATTTGTTGAATACCTAGTCTATGCATACTAATTCCCTAGTTGTAAGACTCCCATTCAGTCATACTTAAGCGGTTCTGAATGATGGTTGTTCTGTAGTTTAGTTGTAATTTTGATGTAGTTGTGGGGGGAGGCCAGCACCCTATTAACCTGTGCTGCCATCTTGATGGGAAGTCTGGACCTCATTTCTTAAACTCTCTTCTTGCTGTACTTCAGCCACATTAGCCCCCTTGCTGTTCCTTGAATATATTAGATATGTGTTCTAACTTTGTGTGTTTGCACTGGCCATTTCCCTGCCTGAAAAACATTCCCTTACCTCCCAGATAGATAGGCACCTGCCCATACCCCTCAGTTCCTTCAAGTCTTTGCTTGAATGTTGTCATCAAAATAAGGCCTACCTGACAACTTTATTTCAAAATGCAACTCATATTCCAATCTTACTTTCCCACTATCCTTTTCTTTTTTCCCGTAATACTTGTTACCTACTAACAAACTGTAGTTTACTTATTTACCATGTCTGTTATTTATTGTCTGTGTACCCCCATAAACTGTAAGTTCCTAGAGGGCAGAAATCTTTATCTAAACTTGTTCACGTATGTATCCTAAACACTTCAAATGGTGCCTGGCATTGAGTTAGTGTTCAATTATTTGTTGAGTCAATTTATGGAAGATAATGAACTAGAAGCATTCCACCCTTGGCAAGGGCATGGAGTCAGATTCATGGTATGAAGTGGAACCTAGGGAAGGGCTAACCCTCCTGTGAGTAGAGGGTAGAAAAAATGGCCAATGTTGCATGCAGCTTTGGCTTGGTATTGAGCTCCATTTCTGCTCTCTTGGCTGGAGAAAGCAGAGAAAGCTCCACATGCTGAGAACATGCTTAGCATTATTGGGGATTTGACAGCAGATTATGAGTTCTGAGCAGCTGAAATGAGACTGGGTTCTGAACTTGGAATCCCTGGTTAGAGAGCTGGGTGTGGGGGGTAGACGGAGGCAATCAAAAAGCCACAAGTGTGTCAAAGATAGAAAAGGGCTAAATTTCTCTATGAGAAATTCAGAGAGGGACTGAGCACAGAAGTCATTCATGGTAAAGCTTTGAGAGGTGGAGGAGGAGAGGGAGGGATCCAGTGATTAGTAGTACAGGAGATATGCTGAGACAGTAAGTGTTAAAGAGCGATTAAAGAATTGACCTCTTCTGTTTGTAAGTGTCATAGACCTCCTTGTGTTATAGTGTTTATTAGTGTCATATACGTCCTCTGGATTTCTGTGAAATCTTAGGTAAAATCTAGATTGCTTTGGTGTAAGTGAATTCTTCCCAGAAAATGGGAAAGAGATGGTGTATCCCAAGTCAGAGTGGGCATGTGGGGATATTTGACATCTGGATTACATATAATTAAGAGGAAAAGTGATAGGACTTAACAATGGATTGGGATAAGAGACGGGAGTTTGGCAGTGAGATCACTGGTGGCCTTGGAAGGGCAGTCTCTGTGGAATGGTGAGTACAGAAGCCAAAATAAGGTGAGTTGGAGTGTGAATGAGAGATGAGGAAAGAGCTATATAAATAACATTTTTAAGAAGTCTAGCTATGACTGGGAGAGAATTTAGGGTTTGGGATCTTTTTTTCAGAGTGGTGTAACTAGAACTTGTCTGTATGTTGATGAGAAGGAACCATTAGACTGGGCGAGCTGATGATGTAAGAGGGGCTGGCTGATGTGATGGACGAAGTACCTGAGAAAGGAAGAGGAGATGAGAGCCAGAGAACAAGTAAATAAAAGCAAGAGGAAGAAAAGGGGGTAGATGTGGGTAGGTTTATAGTTTTGGTGGTAGGTATAACGGCATTGTTTGTGGGGGAGCTGCTGCTTTGGCAGTAATACCAAATACCTTTCTGTTTTGCTGCCCTATCTACAATACATATTCCAGTGTTAGTAGAGTCTAAACTATTGGTGTTTTCTTTGAAGATACAGGGCCAGAACTTTGTGGGTAATTTCTAACTTTGCAAGGGAGTCAAAACCCTCCACTGTAATTTCAGAGTTGTAGAATGTGTAGCTAAATATGTAGATATGGGCATTCCAGTAAGTTTACAGTACTTTTTGAGAAATGTGTGATATAACCTGAACTATATGGAACATAATGAATGTTTGAACTTCCCTCATCAGCCAATCCCTTTATGTTCCAACCCTAGTGAGCAATTGCTTATCCCTGAACATCCCCTATTATTTCATGTCCATGCTGTGCCATGCCAACTATGTGCAATGTTGAATTTTCCCCCTAGGCCAGTTCTTTTAAGACCTAACTCAAATATTGCCTTCTCTATGAAGCCTCTGTAAAGCAATAAATAACTAATTCACCCCACTTAATTTCCTCTACCCTCATGTGAAACAAAACCTATTAAAGTTTAGAAATCTATTTCACCTGGGTATTCCAAATCCTGCTCTTCATCATTATCACCACATGGTACTTTCTGTATCGTGGATTTTCAGCAATCATTTGTTGAAATTAATCAATGCTGGATGGTTGAGGAACTATATCATAAGCACCAAAACTTAAAAGATTGTGAACATTCAGGATAGTCATGCTAAAGTCAACAGATGCCCTCAGAGCTCACTGAAATGTATGGGACTGCCTACCCTAGTGCGAAAGGCTTATAGCCTATTGTCCTTTTGTTCAATGGAGTTTTTAGTTTTTCATCTTACTCTGCATCTGATTTTAGCAGCTAATTCTTCCCTCTTTCATTTTCTGCTTCTAATTAGATTAATCTGCTGATGAATCTGAAAAACTACATGCTTTAGAAATGAAAGTAAGAATAAATAGACGTTGTAGGGCTCTAGACTTTATAGCGCTCTTCTGGGAATAAGGCTTTGCACGTTGGTGCTCCTCTGCTCTATCCACTTACTCCTTCAGCATCTTCTCGGGGTCAGCACTGCAATTGGTGCAAAGGCAGAACTTCATCCTAGTCTTCAAGTTGTTCAGGGTTAATCCCTCTTAGCAGAGTAGAAGGCTTTCTGTATTCTCAGCTATACTTCAGGTAATAGTTCTTTTATTTTAGGGTTTGGTGATGCATTTTGCTTTTAAGTAATAAGAATAGGAGATAAGTAAAGGGTCTTGTTTTTAGTCCAGTGATTTTTCAGCAAGTGTACCATGGAAATTTTTACTTATTTCTTTATTTTTTAATCCTCACCCAAGGATATGTTTATAGGTTTTAGAGAGAGAGAGAGGATATGTTTGTTGATTTTACTGATGTTAAAGAGAGAGAGAGAGAGGGAGAAACATTGATTGGTTGCCTCCTGTACACTCCCCGACTGGAGAATGAATATGCAACCTAGGTAAGTGCTCTGGCAGGCAGTCTAACTTGCAACCTTTTGGTGCACAGGACAATGTTCAACCAACTGAGCCACATGGCCAGGGCACAAGAATTTTTAAAACATGCAACACCTGACTATTTAGTCAGAAGCATTGACCTCTTTTCCCTTAGGTTGTCAAATAAAAAATGACAACAGCCAACACAACAATAGTCATCCAGTGTAAATGAATCAAAATTATACTTACTTTTTGTCAAATCAGCAAAAAATACATTTTTTGGTGTGCCACAGATTTTTAGTAGTTTATGTGTGCCATGAGATGAAAAAGGTAAAAAATCACTGTTTTAGACTTCTGAGTTGTCTTACATGGAATTATAACAAAGTTAAAAAAAAAGAAAAAAATGAAGTGCATGTCTTTCTTTTTCTTTCCTATAGGAAATACAGATGAAGCGGACTGCAATTGAAGCCTTTAATGAAACAATTAAAATATTTGAAGAGCAGTGTCACACACAGGAACAATATCGCAAAGAATACATTGAGCGATTTCGTAGAGAAGGGAATGAAAAGGAAATTGAACGGTAAATCTAGCTGAAATACCTCCAAGAACATCAGTGAGAGAAGATGTCTTTTCTTCCCCAATATTCTCTGTCATGTTTGCTTTTACCCCTCACACTTCACAGTCCTTCCATATGGAAATATTTGCTGTTCCCACCTGTGGCACCAAACTGAACCTACCCTCTTCTGTGTTCTTTCCCTGTTCTTTTAAATGTTAACTCCTGCTCACCCTTTAGGACTCAGCTTAGACATGACTTTTTCTAGAAAATCTTCCCTGACTACCTAGACTGATATGGGGGCTTTTTGTCCTTACCCCTACAGTATCTGGTCCTGATCCCTACTGTAACGTTAACTGAATGTCCCATTCACTTAACTGTAAGCTTGTTGAAAGTAAGGATGTTGGCCTATTTTCCCTGTTAGTTGTAGCACCTGTTATGGTGCTGGAGTGTATATAGTGGTGCTCATTGAATATTTGTTTTACTGGAAATCAATAGCAGCAGTCTGAGAGTAAACTGGAGGTGGAACAAGACCGTGGGCAGGGAATGGCAACCTGACTATCACAGCTGATGGCAGTCTTGTGATCATCAAGTTAAAAGATGGTGGGGGCCTGAATCAGAGCAGGAAAGGAGGTGGAGTTAATGGAAATACTGAGGACTTGAGGCTTGAGCAGAAATGGTAGGTGTGGGGTAAATCAAAGGTGATTCCTAGTGACTAAGGGATATGAGTCACTAAGGGATGGTCTTATCCACCAAAATAGAGAGTTTATGAGGAGAGTTTGGGGTTGGAACCAATGAGTTTTGAGGTTCCTGTGAGAAACCAGATGGAGTTGTCTGAAAGGCTGTTGGATTTGGAATTTGGTACAGAAAAGATTTGGGAGGCTTAAGTGTGTAGGTGATAGTAGACGCTAAAAATGGGATTACATGGGGAGAATGAGCAGCATGAGAAGTATTTGATCCGGCAACTAAAAAGATACTGTAAAAGCAAATTTAGTGGGATATTGGAGGACTGAGCCATATGACAGTGGGTTGAAGAGTGAAGAAGTGGATACCAAATAAAAATGAATCCTATGCAAGGGAAAAGCAAATTTATTTCTCATGTTAGCACCAAAGTGTTAGTGAACTTCTGTGTGCAAACGAATAGGGCTTAGTACTGTGAGGCAGTATAGCTTAATGGTTGAAATCATGGGCTTGAATTCTGTGTTGAATATTTACTAGCTGTGTGACCTTGGTTGACTGACTTAACTCTTTGAGCCTGTTTTCTGCTCCATACGCTGTGGATAATACCGTCTGGAAATACTGTGAGAATTAAAGTGATACATGCATATTCATGATATAGAAAGGCATACTTGTGTCTGTGTGTGAGTGTATCTCGGCATATGCTATCAATAAATGACAATTATTAATAATGAAGAAATGGAAAAGAACTTGTTTAGTTGCAAAGGGAGGTAAAGTAACATAATGACATTTTAATAGTAATATAAAACCACATATTGAATGACAAATGAGTAGTGTGGGCAATTGTTACCTTAAGGGTTCAGAGCACAGCAAAACTTTGTGTGCTAGAAAGCTTATAGCCATTATGTACTGAGTACTTACCAAGATGTATCAGACATTGTTTAGTCCCTTACATGTACTACCACAGCACAATTAATTTACACAGTAACCCAGTGAAGTAGGTGCTATTTAAGTACTCATTTTAAACAGAAGAGGAAATGAAGGCACAGAATATTTAAATAACTTTCCCATAGCCACACAGTAAGTAGCAGGCTAGAGATTCAAACTTAGGTAGGCTGACTTAGGTAGACTGCAAAGCCATTGCTCTTCACTGCTATATTGTGTTATTTTTTTGGTATCATACATATAGTTTTACTTGTTCAGTCATGACTTGATGCAAAACAAGATCATCAGGATTCTCTCTTACATTCTTGTCTTTTGGTCCACTTTCTTCTATGTTGGCTTCATCCTCAGACAGGCTTCCCTATGAGGTGGCAGTATAGCAGCCAGGAGTCTTAGAATCACATACATATTCACAATTTAGCAACCCCTGTGGAAAGATCTCTATTTGCTATAGTTCTAGCAAAAGTCCTGGAAATGACTCTGATTAGTCAGTTTGGGTATTACTGCTATTCCTGAAGCAGCAGTCACTGTAGCCTGAGGGTATGGATAGGATGGAATGGAATACTTTTTATTTCCTTTTCATTGTATTTATTGGGGTGACATCGGTTAACAAAATTATGCAGGTTTCAGGTGCACAATTCCACAACACATCATCTATACATTGTACTGTGTGTTCACCACCCCAAGTCAAGTCTCCATCCATCACCATTTATCCCCACTACACCCCTCCTCCACCTCCCTCCAGCAATCACCATGCTGTTCATCTAATATCTGATGTCCAAGTCCACTGCCAACATAGTAAGTCTACAATGCAAAAGGATAATTACCCCCAAGGACTCTAAGAATGAAGGCCACCAACAGTAATGCACATGCCTGTGAGTGTGCACCAACAGGTGCTATAGCTGCCTTTTCATTCCTATAGTACATTCTTGACCTCCACTGAATGCTTACATCATGTACATCTGTTTATGTATTGAGTGTTCATCACCCCCAGTTAAAATGGAATACTTTATTGTCCAGCCTGGGTTGTGTGGTTCTTCGCCTGTGAAAATGAGATGGGGCAGGGAACCCATTAGGCACCATCAAGGTGCTATTACCAGAAGAGTGGGAATGGATATAGGCCAGGTAAAAACAGCGGATATTGACTGCACTTAAAATATTAGGGTTGTGGTGGTGTTCACACTGTAGAATGCCCCTGTCTGGTTTCTATTTTAGCCTTAACATGTCAAATATTTTCACAGAATTATGATGAATTATGACAAATTGAAATCACGGCTGGGTGAGATTCATGATAGCAAAATGCGTCTAGAGCAGGATTTGAAGAAACAAGCTTTGGACAACCGGGAAATAGATAAAAAAATGAACAGTATCAAACCTGACCTGATCCAGCTGCGCAAGATCCGTGATCAACACCTCGTGTAAGTAGTGTGGGCCCATATGGGAGGTAACAACCAGCATCAGATTACTACTGGCACTAAAGACATTAGAGGCAGAAGAACAGATTTGTAATTGAGAACTAGACGGTGAAATTGTAAGAATGTAGGAAAGCATTCCTGTTAGTAGTGGGAGTACCAGAGTTTACTTAAAGTCAATGTATGGAAGCAAAGTAGGACCCTAATCCATACAAATGCCTTGGAAATCTCAGAGGGTGGCTATAGCATGAGTAAAATAATGTAGCTTAAAAAATACAGAGTAATGTTTGCCTAAAACACAAAAACTAGAATCTTTTGTAATAGAGTAGAACCACAGAATAGAAATTATTCTTCAAGGGCACAGGCAAGGACATTAGTAGTGCAGGCCTATAGATAATTATACTGAACAATCTTCTAAGCAGTTTTTATTTTTAAGAAATGAAATTCTATAAGCAGAAGTGTGTCGATAGCAGACATGAAAGATAATTTTATCTGAGGAGTGGAATCCAACTTTTTAGTATTATGGAGAACTATATGATTTAGCTAGATATAGGGTTATTATCCAAATATAGATTGAAAAATATACCATATTTTGCCATGTATAATGTGCACTTTTTTGCCTAAATTTTTTGAGGGAAAAATAAGGGTCTGCATTATATATGGGTAGTACTAATTCCGTATCTATATAAATGTTTTTAATTCTTTTATTTATGCTTATGCATTAAAAGTGTAACTCTAGAAAACAATCACAATATCCATATGCAAAATAATACCCTGGAATACGATACTCAGTTTTGTTTCTAAATATAGATAAAAATTGAATTAAAAAATTAAATGCAGGGCTTTTTTCCTGAAAGTTTGGGCCAAAAACACATTATACACGGCAAAATACAGTATTACCAGAAAAAATTGTGTGGATTATGTTTTTAGGATAATGGCTGCTTCAAAGGGAAAAATCCAAGAGAAAGCAAAATATATTAGGTTTAGTTCTAGGAAAAGAATAGACTGTTATGAAATATGTTTATGGGTTTCATGCATGTAAAACAATTCAGTTCAAACTCCTGGCAGGAGAAGATGGAGTAAAGACCTCTGACTGTGTTTTCCATAGATGTCAGACTTTCTTTGTGTGAAAAATGGAGAGGGAATAAAACACGTGCTTAGAAGTTGGAACAGTGACTGTTGAGTTTCAGTAGAGGATAATATAAGGTGATTGTTTTAGGGTCAAGCAATTACAACTACACTATGCCAGGTAGTTTTTAGACATTCCTCTAGAGATCATTTCAGTTTGCTAATGTGGTGCCAAAAAAAGTCAAACAAGTACATATAGCATACGGAAGAGCTTTGGAAACAAGGCAAGGAAATGCCCCTTGTCTAAAATCAGGTTGTGTTTGCTCTTGGAATACTTAACATGGTTCTGGTCACATAATGAAGCTAAGGAAATGTCCAATAAGTCTTTACCATGAACCAATGGATTGAATAGAAGCACTTCTTTGTCCTCGAAAGCAATGATATTTAGAAATACACCATCCCAAAGAACATGAATAAGCATGGCAAACCAGAACTTAAAGGTTTCTTTAATGAGTTAAATAAGCTAAATATAAAAGAGACTTTTGATAACATCATGGATGATAAGCCATGACTTGCTAGTAAAGACAGTTAGGAGGTTTAGGGAGACACAGACAAGTTCTACCTCTTTTGGAAGAGTTCTTCAGGGAGGATAGTCCAGTGTTTCCAACAAAGACTAGTAGGCTTGGTGGACTGGATCTGTTCCAGTAGTGAAATTGTCTAGACAGCCCTGAAGGAGACTGACTGTAAACTGTGTGCTGCACACTGCGTATGATCTCTCTTTGGTCCTGTTTTGAAGTTGGAATAGGTTGGAATTTTGCAGTACCTAATTAGAGATGGTGGTTAGTTCATCAAGCCCTCTTTGGGTGTGGATATTTCCCTGACTTTCCACTGCATAGCCTACAAGGATTTTATGAGATTCTCTGCTGGTATCCCAGTGTACTGTTTCTAGAGTATTCTTGAGTGCTTAAATATAGAACTTCATTTCTTAAATATAAAATTCTTTAAAATTTTCTTTAAAAAAAAAGAGGAATTTGGTTGTTTATGTGCAGTTCTTTTTTATCAGGAGCTAGTTTTTATGATCACCATTTACTTTTCTTCATATTCATAAACCTAAATTAATAAATTTAAAATAAAGAGTAACTTACCATAACAATACAGGTACATTAGTGATGAGTTTTGAGTAATATGTACTGGAGGAGTTTGCAGCTAAAGGAGTTCTGTGAAGGATGATGTGTTCTGTTATTTATTTATTTTTTTTAAACAATTTTATTGAGCCTTGACTGGTGTGGCTCAGTTGGTTGGATGTCGTCCTGCAAAGAGAAGCATCACCAGTTCCATTCCCAGTCAGGGCACATGCTTGGGTTGCGGGTTTGGTTGGGGACCTGTCCAAGAGGTAACCAATTGATGTTTCTTTCTCACATCGATGTTTCTATCCCTCTCTTTCTCCCCCCAAAATAAATAAATACAATCTGTTAAAAATTTTATAGAGATACAGTTTACATCCCATACAATTTACCCATTTTGAAGTGTATAAAGCAATATTTTTATTATAGTCACAGATATGTGCAACCATCACCACAGTCAATTTTATAACATTTTCATTAATCTGAAAAGAAACCATTTACCCTTAACCTATCATCCCTCCATCCTCCATCCCCCTATTCCTTTCAGCCCTAAACAACCACTAATCTATTTTATGTCTCTGTTGCCTATTCTGAAGATTTTATGTAAATGAAATCATGTAATATGTAATCTTTTGGGAGTAGCTTCTTTCACTCAGCATACTGTTTTTAAGGTTCATCCATGTGTAGCAGGTATCAATACTTCATTTATTTTTATGGCCAAATCATATTCCATTGTATGGATATTCCACAGTTTATTTAACTATTCATCAATTGATGGACATTTGGGTTGTTTCTAACTTTGGGCTGTTATGAATAAAGCTGCTTTGACCATTTGTGTACAGGTTTTGTATGGACATATGTTTTCAGTTCTCCTGAGCATATGCGGAGGAGTGGGACAGCTGGGTCACATTGTAATTCTGTGTTTAATTGAGTCACTGCCAGGCTTTTCTGAAGTTGCTGCACTGGTTTACATTTCCACCAGTGATGGTCTGATTCTTTTTTAAAGTCATGAATCACTCCTTAATTTAGCTCCTAACTTAAAATTTTTTAAACTGATTTTTCATTTGAAAATGTCATATATTATTTCATTATCATGTAGGGAGTGTGAAGTTCTATTTATAAAATTTGATGTAAGACAAGTTGTATTCCTCTTTTTTTTAAATTTTTAAAGTATATTTTATTGGTTATTCTATTACAGTTGTCCCAATTTTCTCCTTTGACCCCCTCCACCTGATACCCCATCTCCCTCCAGCAATCCCCCCTTAGTTCATTTCCATGGGTCATACATTTGAGCTCTTTGGCTACTCCTTTTCTTGTACTGTTCTTTTTTTTTTTTTCCTTCCTCCCCTTAAAGATTTTATTTATTTATTTTTAGAGAGACGGGAAGGGAGAGAGAAAGAGGTAGAGAAACATCAATGTGTGGTTGCCTCTTGTGTGCCCCCTACGGGGGACCTTGCCCGCAACCTTGGCATGTGCCCTGACTGGTAATTGAACTGGGAACCCTTTGCTTCCTAGGTCAGCGCTCAATCCACTGAGCCACACCAGCCGGGGCTGCTGTACTGTTCTTAACATCCCCCTGTCTATTCGGTACCTACCAATTTGTACTTTTTAATCCCTGCACCTTTTCCCCCATTCTCCCCTACTGGTGACCCTCCACATGATCTCCATTATCTATGATTCTGTTTCTGTTCTGCTTGTTTGCCTAGTTTGTTTTTTAGATTCAGCTGTTGATAGTTGTGAATTTATTGCCATTTTCACATTCATAGTTTTGATCTTTTTCTTAAATAAGTCCATTTAATATTTCAAAGAATAATGGCTTGGTGGTGATGAACTACTTTAGCTTTTTACCTTGTCTAGGAAGCACTTTATCTGCCCTTTGATTCTAAACAATAGCTTTGTTGGATAGAGTAATCTAGGCTGTAAGTCCTTGCTTTCCATTGCTTTAAATACTTCTTGCCAGTCCCTTCTAGGCTGCAAAGTTTCTCTTGACAAATCTCCTGACAGTCTTATGGGACTGGCATAGAGTCCTTTGTAGGTAACTCTGTGTTTTTCTCTCACTGCTTATAAGATTCTCTCTCTTGTCTTTAACTGTGGTATATTAATTATGATGTGTCTTGGTATGGTCCTCTTGTGTCCCTCTTGTTTGGGACTCTCTGTGCTTCCTGGACTTGTATGTCTATTTCCTTCACCGTATTAGGGAAGTGTTCTTTCATTATTTTTTCAAATAAGTTTTCAACTTCTTGTTCTTCTTCTTCTCCTTCTGGCACCCCTATGATTTGGATGTTGGTACATTTAAAGATGTCCCAGAGGTTCCTAAGCCTGCCATTGTTTTTGTGAATTCTTTTTTCTTCCTGTTGTTCTGACTGACTGTATTTTTCTTCCTTGTGTTCCAAATCATTGATTCATTGATTTGATTCTTGGCTTCATCCACTCCACTGTTGATTCCCTGTAAAGGTCCCTGCCCCCCACCCAAAGGATTCTTTATTTATTTTTTATTATTTTTTTAAAATTTATTTTTATTGTTCAAGTACATTTGTCTCCATTTACCTGCCACCACTTTCCCCTGTCACCCGCCCCGTAAAGCTTTCTTTATTTCACTTAGTGTAATCTTCATTTCTGCCTGGGTCTTTTTTTATGCTGTTGAAGTTCCCAGTGAGTTTCTTGGGTATCCTAATAACCAGTTTTTTGACCTCTGCATCTAATAGATTGCTTATCTCCATTTTGTTTAGTTCCTTTTTTTTGAGTTTTGTTCTGTTCTTTCATTTGGGCCATATTTCTTTGTCTACTCATTTTGGCAGCCTCCCTATGTTTGTTTCAATGCAGTAGGTAGAGCTGCTTTGACTCCCTGTCTTAGTAATGTGGCCTATTGTACAAAAGTTCATCTGTAAGTTGGATGGAACAGAGTCTTAGGTAGTCACCAGGGCAGGGCAACCCATGTGAACCAAGTTGATGGAGTCTCGGGTATGGTGTTGCCTCTCTGTGGCTCTCTGGGCGTGGCTGACTCAGAAAAGGGACAGTGGTCACTGCCTGGCCTCTGGAGTTTTGTCTGGGAGGATGCTGTTCCGGGCACTTGCCCAGATGCCAGACACTTCCATTTCTCTCCATATGCCACTGGTGCCCTTCAAGCTGCCACCACAGTCCTGGAGCCCAGAGGGAGTGAGTCTGCGTAAGTGTTAAGTCTGTTGCAGGCCCTTTAAGAGGAGACATCTGAGAATCCCTCAGTTTCTATGCTGCCCCACCCCGCACTGGTTTTTTACAGCCAGAAGTTATGGGGACTTATCTTCCTGGCACTGGAACCCTGGGCTGGATGATTTGGTGTGGGGGGTATGCCTCATGATTTTTATGCCCATTCCGCATCTCTGCCGCTCCTACCTGTCTAGATCAATTTGACTTGTTAAGTCCTTGATTGTCAGACTTCCATGCAGCTTGAGATTGTGACAACTCTGGGTGATAGTTGCTTTGTAGTTTAGTTGTAATTTTTGCTGTTGATGTGTGAGGAAGTGAGCTGTGTTTACCTACACCTCCATCTTGACCAGAAGTTGGGAAAGGATCTCTTTTTCTTTAAATTAAAATTAATTTATTCCAAGTTCCTACCTGCCTTGTTACATGAAAAGTATTTTATCTCAGGTATGATTAGTACTCTTCTCACCTCCTATACATATACACACACTTGGGTCATCAAAGAGTATTATCAGAAGTACTGCGAAGAAACTAGTGGAGCAAAAGTCCCTTGTTCCCCATCACTGCTGTCACTGGGTGTTTCCTCTGTCCCTCATCACTGGGTTCTGCCACCTGGTTAAATGCTGCTGTTCCAGAAAATTCAGAGGTGCTCTTCACAGTGATCTCCTTATTGGCACTAACAGACTCTGCATCTTAAAACCTTCTAGTCCGTGAGCTGGGGGGCCTTATGTATGGGGCACCCTGTTCTGTTCACCCCATCTCATAAAGTAGCCAGGCTCTAAGGGAAGCATAAATTCTTCTTCAAGACTTTCCCTCTTTCAGGGACTGCCTAGTTTAATCCCCTCTCTTGGACTAAAACGTAAGTTCTTTTTCTCTTAAACGTTGGTAGTTGGGTTGTAAGACTAATTAGACTTTTAGAAAGGATTTCATATACACATTTTTTCCCTACTTGCTAGGTTGGGGACTAGGTATGGGTATGTTAAGACCAGCTATTTTTTTCTGTTGTTTTTCTTTTTCTTTTTAATCTATTTTTTTTTTTAAAGATTTTCACTTACTCACTTTTAGAGAGGGGAAGGGAGGAAAGAGAGGGAGAGAAACATCAATGTGTGGCTGCCCCCTACTGGGGACCTGGCCTGCCACCCAGGCGTACACCCTAGTCTGGGAATTGAACCTGCGACCCTCCAATTTGCAGACCGGCACTCAGTCCACTGAGCCACACCAGCCAGGGCTCTCTTGTTTTTCTTAACTTCAGTATAAGCTATGGGAGTAGTATTTTTCCTGTATTTTTTTTTTTTTAAAGAAGGAAATACTCAGGCATAAATAGAGGCTGGACAAAACCACACAATTAGTAACGGAATGAGAACTGGATGTTAGGTCTTTTGATTCTTAGACTTCAGGCTTTTCCTCTAGAATATATCATCTTTATGAGTGATCTAGGCATTTCTCAATAACGAGATAAATATGAATCAACATACTAAAGTTACTTGACCTTTTGCAAAATTATTTTTAAAAGTTAGTCAGTTCCTGACATTGTTAATAGATGTTGAAGGACTCAGAACTACGTATTAGTATTTGAAATGGTCTCGGTAGATTAGAAAAGTCATGTGTGTGCGAAGGCAGGACACCATTGTAGATGAAAGGTGGGCAGAAACACTCTTGTCTTTCTCGTGTATTTTCCTTGGTGTCCTAATATTCCTTGTGGTAGAAAGAGGGGCTCAGTTTAAAGAGGATGGTGGTTAAAGAAAATGAGAACTCAAGAGAAGGTGTAGTGTGGTTTGTTCATTTCAAGCCTTTTACTCAGTGTACTTGTCTCTTTATGAAAGGAAAGATAAATTTTTTAATGATAGAAAAGTTTGGATAAGGGTGTTTAGAGGAGGTTATCTGGGTATTTTGAATAGAAGTGATGGTTTGTTACTAAATAAATTTTATCAAGATCATGTTAGTTGTTTTGTAGTTTCACTAAGCATGTAAAATGAAATCCAGGTTAACCAAAGGATATGTCTTATTGAGAAAGGCAATGAAATCTGTTTAAACGACTTTAAAATTTAGGTGTGATGCCAAGTTACCTAGTGTATTTGGGGTCAGAGAGAGATACACGATGACTTTGGAGTTGACCTTTAATATTTATTAAAAACAGTCCACCAGCAAATATTTATTGACTATTTATTGAATATCTGCTGTTTGCTGGCCCTCTTTTCAGCATTGGGATTAGTCATGAGTAGGACAGACCCCTTCCTTTATAGCAGCTTACATTTTAGAGGAGGAGGCAAACATTAACAAGTGAAATATAAAACAATTCCAGGCAAGTGCTACAAAGATGATAAAGTAAGGTTGAAGTACAGAGAGTGACTAGAGGATTGCTTTTGTTGAGATGGTGAGGGTACCCATTCTTGAGGAGGTGACGTTTATGTGAGACCTAAATGATCAGGAGCCTTGTTGGAGGATGGCAATGAAAGAGTTTTTATATTCCATTCAAGTTTTAGACTATCACCCATCTCAATGATTTATATCATTTTACATCAAAAATGTTGCTGCATTTTAAAATACTGGTGCCTGGTGATGAAGTAAATTTGTATTAATTACTCAGATTGCCATCCTGAATTTCTTATGGCTTGCTTAGCTGCAAAAATAGACCTGAAATTCTATTTTAGAATTTTAAGCTCAGTGTAGTAGACCACTCAGGAATTGAATCCTCTGGCTTAGTGGAGATTGCAAATGCATGACACCTTACTGACCTGATGATTTCAGCAACTCATGCCCCTCTTGGTTTGAGTGTAAGTGTGTGTGTGCACGCACTTATGGTAAAACCTAGACAAGGGAAATGAAAAGTGAGAGAAGTGCCTCATTTCAAGTACCCCTTTGTGTTTCTGCCTTTTGCAGAAAGTTGAAGGGAAAGTAATGGAGAAACTAGTTTAGGGAAATCTCTGGCCACTATCAGTTGGACTGGGGAAAATAAGAGGTTCCTGGACTCTGGAAGTTTGGTTGGCTCAGACATGTATACTTTGTTCAGGTAGAGTTTGCACAGATACTGACACTGATGTCTTCCCTCTGGCAGATGGCTCAATCATAAAGGAGTGAGACAGAAGCGCCTGAATGCCTGGCTGGGGATCAAAAATGAGGATGCTGATGAGTAAGTTCCCTCGGTACCTTTCTGTGAGAGGGCTTTGTTCCAGGATAAGACATGGGCCTTCTTTATACATGTTAAATGATGGTTCTCATTGTCATTTGAGGATATTGAATCAAGAACTTTGCACCTCTTTTGAATTGAATTACCTAAAGAGTACCTTATAGGTACTTGAGTTCAGAGACCTGCCAAACCACAGACATTCATGTGTCAGCTTGTTGGATGAGCACGTGTGAATTCTGTGCTTTCTGTACTACAGCAAGTAATGATATTGTTTAAAAGCATCCAGCTGATTACAATTTCATTTTGTCATTATTTGGTTAAAGATTTAGGAAAGAGTTTTATTTGTGAATTTGATTTTAGATATAAGTAACCTGATTGTTAGAGTAACATTTTAACATTTAATTTTTAGGACCTATTTTATCAATGAGGAAGATGAAAACCTGCCCCATTATGATGAGAAAACCTGGTTTGTTGAGGATATCAATCGAGTACAAGCAGAGGACTTGCTTTATGGGAAACCTGATGGTGCATTCTTAATTCGTGAGAGTAGCAAGAAAGGATGTTATGCTTGCTCTGTGGTGTAAGTCTTCTCTGGGGGTATGACCTTTTGAAGATTTCTGCTTTGATTAAGAGAAAATCAGTCCCTCATAAAATTCAGATCAGATTAGCTCAGGTATAGTAATGAGGGCCGGTGGCTTATACTATTAATATTTTATAGAGAAAGCAGTTGCTTTAGAAGAGATAATATCTGAAATCATTTTGGGGATTTTAATGTAAATGGTAAATAGATTAGGCCTAGCAATGTTGCTATTGAATTTTGGATATTTATGAAAAGTAATGTGAGATCTTCCTTTGAAAAAATGACTTTAATTCTTTAGTAGTCTCCTGCATGCCTAACTTGGTCTTCATTGTCAGATTTAGGAAGGATTGGTTAAATACAGCTGTTTTTACTTCAGAACAAAAACTTTAAATTTTGTACTTAAATAGTATTCTGTTGAGGTAGTGATAGAAATTGTTAAGTGTTTTCCATAAGATGATCTTATGACCGTGTTTGGAACAGCCTGATTTCCGTTTAATGGAAAGTGAAATTCTGGGGGCAACTAACCATGCATTGGTCATATTTTGCCTAAGTATTATGTATATTCTTTAGAAAGGCAAATTTTTTCATTGACAAAGACCACACTTAAGGTGGAGGTATATAGTGTCATGATTATGAGAGCAAGCTTTGGTGCCAGATGTACTAGATTCAAATCCTGACTCTGCTGCTTACCAGACATGTGAATTATGGTAAGTTATTTAACTTTTCTTTGCCCAGTTTCCTTATCTGTAAAATACGGATAATAATATCTCTTTAAAGGTTTTTGAGTTAATTAAATGAGTTAAAACATGTAATGTAATGTACTTTGATCAGTGCTGGCACATGGTAAGTACTCGTTACTTACTATATTATTATGGTCACGATACTACTGATGGACAAGACAGAAGGCAAGCCAAAATGACAAAAACATTTTCTTTCAAAAAGGGCAAGGTGGTGAGGATAGACAAAAGACACTCATATTAATGGAGCATTTGTTCAGTGCTGTACATGAGCATCTTGTCTTCAGTGGTCTACCTCTTACTGAGTCAGAGTTTGAATCCACGTTTACCTGGTTTCAAAGTCCACATTTTCCTATTGCATCACACTTAATTTCACAAATATCCAAGATAAATAGAATCGCTGTGAAATAGATATCACCAGTAGTCTGTGCACATGAAGAACTATTAATTCTGGTGGAGAAAGAGGAGATTGGGAGGTTTTGTGGAAGAGGTAGCATTTGAGCTGGACTTTGAAAGGATGAATAATGGGATACCTATAGACAGGAAATGGTGGAGGAGTTGTAAAGTACGTTGAATTACTGTTATCCAAAGACAGAGCTTGAAAAACATTACGTTTCTCTGAAACATAGACTGCTCAAGTTATCTGAGTGGAATGGCAGAAGAGGATGGTTCTTGTAGGATTTGAGATGTTTTAAGAACAATAAAAAGGTAGACTTCCAGCCAAGATGGAGGCACAGGTAGATACATTTTGCCTCTTCACATAACAAAAAGGACAGGAACAAATTAAAAAACAAAAAATAACCAGAACTGCCAGAAAATCAAACTGTATGGAAGTCCAACAGCCAAGGAGTTAAAGAAGAAACATTCATCTAGGCTGATAGGAGGGGCAGAGGCAGGCAAACAGGACAGAGAGGATGCACTGCAAGGCGGTAGCTGGAGGACCAGGGTTAAGGTGGCGGCTGGCAGACGGGGTGGCTCATTTGCATGCGGATAGAACAGGAGGAACAGCTAGGGAGTGAGACAGACTGGGCAACTCAGGGTTCCATTGTGGGAAAAGAGAGCCTCAAAATCTATGGCTGTAAAAATCTGTGGTGGATGTGGCAGCGGGTGAAACTCCCAATCTCACAGAAGAGTTTGTTGGAGAGACCCACTGGATCCTAGAACATATACAAACCCATCCACCTGGGATCAGCACCAGAATCAGACCCAGTTTGCTTGTGGGTAACGGGGGAAGTGACCGAAAGCTGGCCAAGAGCCGAGTAAGTGGTATTGTTCCCCCTCGGACCTCTTCCCCACATACAGCATCACAGTGCAGTGAGGTGGGTTGCCCCCTTCCTGGTGGTGAATACACAAGGCTCCGCCTCTTCCGATGTAATAGGTGTGTTGAGACAAAGGAATATGGTCCAAATGAAAGAACAGATCAAAGCTCCAAAAGTAGAAGTAAGTGATGAAGAGATAGCCAACCTATCAGATGCATAGTTCAAAACACTGGTAATCTGGATGTCACTGAAATGGTTGAGTATGGTCGCAAAATGGAGGAAAAAGTGAAAGCTATACAAAGTGAAATAAAGAAAAATATACAGGGAACCAACAGTAAAGGGAAGGAAACCGGGACCTAATTCAACAGTTGGGAGCAGAAGGAAGAGATGAACATTCAACCAGAACAGAATGAAGAAACTAGAATTCAAAAAAATGAAGAGAGCTGCTTAGGAACCGCCAGGACAACTTTAAACATTCCAACATCTGAATCATAGGGGTGCCAGGAGAATAGGAAGAGCAAGAAATTGAAAACTTATTTGAAAAAATAATGAAGGAAAATTTCCCCAATCTGGCCAAGGAAATAGACTTCCAGGAAGCTCAGAGAGTCCCAGAGAAGTTGGACCCAAGGAAGCACACACCAAGGACATCATAATTACATTACCTAAGATTAAAGATAAGGAATCTTAAAAGCAGCAAGAGAAAAGGAGACAGTTACCTACAGAAGAGTTCCCATAAGACTGTCAGCTGATCTCTCAGAAGAAACCTTGCAGGCAAGAAGGGGCTGGCAAGAAGTATTCAAAGTCATGAAAGACAAGGACCTACATCCAAGATTACTCTATCCAGCAAAGCTATCATTTAGAATGGAAGGACAGATAAAGTGCTTCCCAGATAAGATAAAGTTAAAGGAGTTCATCACCAGGCCCCCATTATATGAAATGTTAAAGGGACTCATCTAAGAAAAAGAAAATAAAAATAAAAAACTATGAACAGTAAAATGAAAACAAACTCACGACTATCAACAAATGAACCTAAAAAAAAATAAAAACACACTAAGCAAACAACTAGAAGAGAAACAGAATCACAGAAATGGGGATCACATGGGAGGTTATCAGAGGGGAGGAGGATAATGGGGGGAAAGGTACAGGGAATAAGAAGCAAAAATAGTAGGTACAAAATGGAGGAGGTTAAGAATAGTATAGGAAATGGAGAAGCCAAAGAACTTACATGTATGACCCATGGACATAAACTTAAGGGGTAGGGGAATGCTGGTGGTAGGTGGGGTGCAGGGTGGAGGGGAATAAATGGGAGGAAAAAAATGAGACAATTATAATAGCATAATCAATAATGTGTGTATGTGTGTGTGTAACATAAAACAATATATATTGTTTTATATATATAACAATACTGTGTGTATGTGTATATAGATATATATAAAACAATGATATATAAAATAAAAAGAAGGAAGGTAATAATCCCAGTGAACCGATACCTCATGCTCACCCCATATCATTGGGTGGCAGCCACAAATAAATCCAGGAAAACCAAAGAGCAGCTTGAATATCTTAGGGATTCCTTTTCTCCTTTCTCTAGCCACAGACTTGACCAGACTCAAGTCCACAGCAGTGTGGATTTCCCCTTGCCTGTTAAATTCAGCTGCATTCATATATCATATTGGAGTTCACATTGAAGATTTTCTAAGAAAATAAGTTAAAAAAGATGACTGTAAACATTTATATTAAAAAAGATCTTAAATTAATAACCTAACCTACCTTAAGAAACTAAAAAAAAAAGAAGAAGAAGAGCAAACTAAGCCCACACAAGCAGGAGGAAAGGAATAATAAAGGTTAAAATGGAAGTAAAGACTTCTAGACAAGATGGAGGGGTAGGTAGACATGCTGCACTTCATTGCAAAACCATAAAATTACAACAAGATCTCAAAAACAAGTAGCTCCCAGAAGTGCCAGAAAATTGAGCTGTATGGAAGTTTGACAGTCAGGGATTTAAAGAAGCCACATACATATATCCAGACAGGTACAAGGGGTAGAGTCATGGAGATAGGATGGAGATAAGGTGTGGCGTGGAGAGGCCGCTGCGGTGGCAGCGGCAGAACGAATGGTTGGTCCCGTATTCACATGTGGTGGGTATAAATCAGGAGGGATACCTTGGGAGCGAGTGACCCCAGCCCCAGGCCAGACTACAGAGCCCAGGGTTCCAGCACTGGGAAGATCAACTTCCGTTCCTTCTGGCTGTAAAAACCAGTGGAGTTTGAAGCAGCAGAAGAAATTGCCAGGTTTTTGCCACTTAAAGGGCCTACACAGGCTGTGAATGTATGCAAACCTCATGGCAGCAGCTGGAAGGGCACCAGTTGCATACAGAAGGTGAGTGAGGTGACTGGAAGTGGGGTGAGTGCTGGGCAGGCCTCAAGGAGCCAGGCAGTGGCATTGTGCCCTTCCCAAGCCCTCCCCCCACAACAGAGCCACAAAAGGTTGAAGCAGGTTGTGCTGCTCTGACAGTTACCTGAAGCTCTGCTCTACACAATTTACAGGTGCCTTTTCTATATAGGCCATTCTACTAAAACAGGGAGTAAAACTAGCTCTACCTAATACACAGAAACAAACCCAGGGCTCTTTTTCCAGCTGGAACCATGGAGGGTGCAGAAGAGAAGAAGGTTCCTGCTGTGCCAGAAACCCGTAAGAAAAAGTGAAGGAATTTCGCAGAGCCAAAGATCAAGCACCTGAGAAAGAAGTTTGCCCAAAAGATGCTTTGAAAGGCAAAGAGGAAGCTTATCTATGAAAAAGCTAAGTACTATCTCAAGGAATATAGGTAGATGTACAGAACTGAGATTCGAATGGCTAGAATGGCAAGAAAAGCTGGAAACTTCTATGTACCTGCACAACCCAAATTGGCATTTGTCATCAGAATCAGAGTTATCAATGGTGTGAGCCCAAAGGTCTGAAAGGTTTTGCAGCTTCTTTGCCTTTGCCAGATCTTCAACGGCACCTT